AAGAAATAAAAAAAAATCAAAATGTTGAAAGAAATTCAGAAATGACCGGTTCTCTTGAAAAATTGTGTAAATCGAAACCAATTTTATCAGTTTATTGGTTCATCTAAAAAAAATTATTTATGTATTTAATTTCTAGAAAAATTGAGCAGCGGTCCCTAATCTTTTCAATTTTTGTAGATTTTATCCTTACCTTCAATTTATGTCAACAAACGTTCATAACCTTTTAGAAATATGCACTTGGGATCCAAACGGATGGAAACCATCGATTTGACCTTTAATTGACCAAAAAAATTGATTTTGACAAAATTTTTACGACATCGTGGTGGTGGAGGTGGTGGTGGTGGTCGCTGTTTGATGGTATGTGAGTTTTCTTGATTTATTTTCAAATATATATAGTGGCAAATGTGCAATGGGCTAGAAGGTGGCGGTGGAGGGTGCCGGCACTGGTATTCGGTGGTGGTGAGGGGAGTTGTGGTTGCTGTGGTGGCAGTGTATATTGAAGGTGATGGTGATGGCTGTTTCTGGTAAGGCTTGTCCGAGATGAAGAGAGGTACGTTTGATTAGGGACGGGGGGTGGGGTGGCGTGGGGTGGGGTGCGTAGTATAAGATGAGAGATTTTTTTTTTCCTGATTTTGTTTGATTTTTTATAATATAGAATTAACTAAGTTATCATTTTGCTCTTACTAAATTTGGTCAAAATCAATTTCTTTGTCAACTAACGGTCAAATGGACAGTTTACTTCTGTTTGGACCTCAGTTATATATTTCTGAAAGGTTATGGACATTTGTTGACACAAATTGAAGGTTATGATAAAATTTACAAAGATTGAAAAGGTTAAGGACCGCTACTACAATTTTCCTTTAACTTTTAGCATGGGTTTGATCTTAATTTGACTCTTAATTTTTTTGGTCAATATTCGAGCTGAATATTTTCTTTAGTATGAATCAATCTTCCCAAGAAAATAGGGGGATATTCCAAAATAGCCGGGTCAAATGACCCATTTGGATTTTTCGTGTGAAAGTCAATTTTGCCCTTAATGAAATGTTTTTTTATTGCAAATTAAGTCCTCAAACTTTATAGTTTTTTAGAAACTAGTTTAATTCCTATTTTTATTCGTCATCA